TACCTGCAAGGAATTTTAATGTGGACTGCAAAAACATTTTATCCATTAAGGTTAAAGATAGAAATATAATTTAAAAACCCCTGGGGGACCCCCCCCCCCCCCGAGTGTCTTTATACAGTAACGATGTTAATGAGTGAGTGAGAAAATAAATGTTTGTGATGCTATTATCTCCTCCACTGACTGGCTGGAGGAAATATAGTTGTCCTTGTGATTTGCATTCTAAGTTCAGTTTGACTGTGCTGTTGTGGTGAAGTGTTTGTTAAGATACAGAAAACATGGCTGATTTAGAAAGAAATACACAGATTCAGTTTGTGTAGGTTTATAAAAAGGTGCAGTCCTTATATCTCCACAGTGAGTAAAATTATTTAAAATTGTAATGTTTTACCAGAACACTAAGTCATAGTGTCATAACAGATCATTCACAATGCAATCTTAGCCCCCCCTCTGGGCAGGGAGGGAAGCTACCTGCTCTCTGTTGATATTTGAAGTAAGACAAACAACAAAGCAAACAAACAAAAATCAAAAATGACTGTACAACATAATGTGCTGACATTATTATGTGCTGTTTGTGCACAGTGTTGTGAAACTCCCCCCTAATCTTTGTATACAGTGGTATATATGTATACATACATTACCAATATCCCATTGTCTCTGTATGGGTTTATAGTATGAATTATATATTTGAAAAGCAAATTCACCGCAGCCCTGTTTGACTTCATAACCTGTGTTTTATCATGCCGATCACAGTTAACAGCACAAGACATCACAAGCTTCTCATCATCAATTCTCAACCTTTTCTATTTTCCAGAGTCCTAAATTGAACTTCATGCATGGACGCACTAATACAAACCCTCCATTCTTGTTGAGCAGTCCTCATTAAAAAGTAAATGTCCTCTAAATTAGGCACAGCAGAGGAATCATAGTTGGCTGGGCACACGCCTGTTGGAAATGTCAGCGCATGTGTTTGCAATTAACTGTCAAATGCAAAATATTGGCTGTGAAATTACAGAAAACCTTCCTCGGGCATCAGTGATAATGACAATCGTCAACAGAAGTGTGACAAACGCTGGTTCTGTGTCACTGTTTGTGATACATTTTATTTTATCAACCCTTCTCCCTTCTAGCTGATTTTTAAAAAATGCTGCTGAGGTTTTATTTTGAAAGCAAAGAATGTAGGAAACCACTGTGGTCAGCAGTTGGCTTTTAGTGGGTAATTGGCTAAATGGTGAAGCTGATGTGCTCCCTCCTAGAATGAAACCTGCGCTGGTGATGCTTGAAATTTAGATGATTTGAGTTTAGGTCTCTCTCCAATATTTTAGCTCTCTTGGTTTTGAAGCAGATTTTGAAAAACTGCATCAGTAAAACAGCTAAACAAATGGTGCTGCTGTAACACTTCCTGTGTCAGCCCACTCAGTTTATTCAGAGGATACACGCAGTTCTCATTACCTTTAAGTAAGACTGTGTTTGTGACAATTAACTTAAATAGACAGTGTTCAATTCTACAGACTGCTGAGTGCACACACACACGTAGGCACATATCACAACATTTGTCGTAGTGATGTCAGAGTGAGACCTTCTGACGTCAGTGTCTATTATGTGACTAAATCTTAAGTGCGGTTTGTTTTAAATATTCCAGTTTTCTTGAAGCAGACATGGAGGGGTTTTGGGTGGCTGTTGATTTGTCCGAGTGATTCAGTGCAGATCATCCTGTAGACAGAGATTAGTAAATCAGCAAATGTGTCTCCTGGAAACACAGGTCTATCCACAGACCTACTTTCGGGGAATGTTGATACATGTACCAATAATGTAGCACAAAACACAACATACACCTGACCTCATATATTTATTATCAGGTGAAGCGTGCTCAGCAGGTATGTGGTGTACTCATCGCACTGAGACCTATTTCATAATGAGTACATCAGAATGCCATTAATAACCTTTCAGCCTAACAACTCGGAGTAAAAATATTTTATCTAGTGTAAGCAGAAATGAAGTCTGACATCCATCTCCGCCCCTCCCTCTGCCCCCAAAGTCTACAAATTAATGCTAATATGCTGTTGGGGCTTATGGACAGGCAGCTAATGCTGTCAAGGTGGTAAATCATGTGACAAGCAGTGAGAGAGGTGGGAATTGTTACAGTTGTCTGATTGGTCGGAGACAGATATATACAGACGGTAATAAATTAGGTTAAGGTGGAAATGGTGTGACACAATCAATTCAATGACTGTGATTAAATGAACTATTTTTAATAGGAACATAATGAATATGAAGCAGAAGTTAAAGAGTGAGAATTAAAAAGCTGAACGACAACTTACATAAATAAATTACATTTATTTCTGATCTTATTATTATCTATTTATGTATTTAACACATAGACTCTTTCACATATAACCTGTAACACTTTGACAAGCTGTGCTTCCATCTGGAGAATTCCTTCTTTGTCGATTTCTGGAAATTGTCCGACTTCTATAGGATGCTTGTTTCAGGACAAGGATTGAGTTTCTATCAAATCTCTCGCTCTTTTTGTTTCTGGAAAAATCAGATGGAGCTAGATGTAAAGCTTCAATAATACACAACTTCCATTTTCCAAATTTAGTCTTAGCACTGCTGCAAGGTCAGGAGAGAAGCTACCTGCTCTCTCTTTATATTTAGGTTTGGACAAAAAATACAAGAGCATAATATGCTGACATCACTATTTCTGATTCTTGTCTGTTTCCATTGCTTTTATATGTAATTTGGTCTCATTGCTTTGACATGAGTGGTGCCCAGAGGAGTGTCTCTGTCATTGGTGTGGAACTCCAGGGTTCAGCTCCAGGGCAAGTTCGAATCCCGGTTAGGGCGGTTGGTACCTTCCAGTGGACTCACCACCCGCAGGAAGGTTCATGGGGCTGGTATGGTGCAGTGTGATTTGGGTGGCGGTCGTGGAGACTGCTGCCCCCGCGACCTGGTAACAGATAAGTGGATGAAAATGGATGGATGGATTTTTTGACATATCTGGCAAAATGTGATTAGGAATTTTGGGCCATTGGTACAGTAAGATGATGATGAGGATGATGATGATTTAGATATTCATCAGCAATTAAAAAGCTTCAGTCTGGTTTGTCTTAAGACATGACTAATGACCTGATGCCTTGATACCTTTAGGTTCCATCGCTATTGTTAAGTCAAAGGAGTCAATGTATGCAAATGTATGCCATACATCAGTATAATCTAAAGCCAAAGGCAGATCTTCGCTCCCTCTCTCTCTTGTCTCATGAGACAGAGTACAGCAGTGATGTTAGAGCAGAAATACTTTTAAAATACTCTAAACTAAACACGTCATAAAAAGACACAAAACACACACACACACACACGCACACACACAAAGCCTTCTGTGGGGCAAATAACCTGTATTGTGAAGAATTCTTTGTGCACACATGACTATTATGTGTAACTCTTTAACACGGCAGCTCTCTCTGTTTCATCCCAACACTCTGTCTCTCCATCCCCATCCATCTAAGCAGCCGTCCATCAATTTCAGTCCCCTGTGAAGCCAATTCAATTCACACTCTGAAAGAGAGAAATGCCACTGAAATTTTGTGTGTGTGTGAAGAGGAGGAAAGTGATTCAGTCAGTAGAGTGGTGAAAAGACAAGATCGAATCAAGGTGAGCCAAAATGTGTGCCTGACTTTCACACATGCATATACGCATCGAATCAAGGTGAGCCAAAATGTGTGACTTTCACACATGCATATACGTAAGCTTGCACATGGCATGTGCACACTAACATTCTCCACACAATAACCCCTGCTTCCACTTTTTGACACTGCGTGAATGTATAGCTAACAAAGCTAAAATGCTGCGGATATTTAATATGTAAAAAAGAAGCGAAGCATAGTAAATATTGAAAAAGCTGTGAGTCTGTCAGACGGTGTTCTGAGATCCAGAATTGTCATCTATTAATGACTCCAGCCCTGCTGTTCCCAGACTCCAGAAATGCTTTACACTAGGTGATGTATGTGTGTGTGTGAGCTGCCAAATAAGTGTGTGTTGTTTGAAACATTATCCACCTTCCCTGAAACATTTGTGCCTCATCTTCATTAATGTGCTGTTGCTAAGATACAAGCGGCACATATTTACTCCTCCACGCAGCAAATCTCTCTGTGTGTTTGTGTGTGTGTGTGTCTCTACACACCATACACCCACACCAATTTACCTCATTTCAGGTCACCACCCTGTGATACCCAGCGTCAACATCCTCTGTTCAGTATAGAGCTTTTTTATTTCATTGGGTTTACAAGTATTACTAAAAGATACAATGAATATACTCCAGTTAATACACTCAGAATTACATGCAATGAAACCTGTGTGGGTGAAACCACTCTTCCCTAAACCTACTAATCCAACAATTAAGACTCAAGTCGCTGTGAATAAATGACAAATATTAATCTGGTGAATCTTGAAACATAATTTATCCAAGTAACATGTTAGGGCTGGGGCAAACATTTTGACTGCAGGGCCACAATGGATTCTAAAATGATTAATACTCGCCACTCACCGTCCACGTTTTCTTTTCTTTCACCCACTTGTTTATGTAATAAAGGGTTAGAAGTTCAAACAAAGGACACAGCGAAACAGTGAAGTCAGAACACCTCAACTTTACAGTGCGCCACCTATTGCAGAAATGTGGGCATTGCAGAGAAAAAGCAAAATTCTAGTCTAATGATAATATATTATTAATAATATTTTTCAGACAAGTTTGTCGTAGCAGCGGCCCATATTTGGCCCCTGGGCTGTAGTGTACCCAACTATTATATGTTTATTGCTTACCCTTAAAAGTGCATCTCACTCGCTTGGCCAACGGCCATCTAGAAGGATTAATGACTTTTTGACCTGTCTTGGAATTTTAGTTTGGAACGTTTTTATGCCTTTATTGAGACTCCTCAAAGTAATGACAGTTGCCACAGCATAAAATATGTTTGATGGTTCCTCGTCAGCAGGAGCAGGGTCTTCTGGTGTGATCATTTTCCTTTGAGAACTTTACGTTGAAGCTTGTCTAGATCTTTTTAAAGACAGAAAAGATTTTGTTGAATAAATCATTCCCTATAGCCATGCACACGTTATTGCCACTATTCCAGTGGCACCCACTTAGTTGTAGAGGGTGCAACAGGTGGCCACAGACTAAAATTACTGTGAGAATGTGTCTTTTATTTTATTTACCACACTGATAAGCTATGTTGACACGTTTATACTCGTTTTCAGTCATGGACCGAGCAGATCCGAGGACACGGTTTGGATCATCCTTGGCAACAATGGTTGGCTGCCCATTTTTGGAGAAGGCTTTGCTTTATGAAAAGACAAACACAAGATTTTGGGTGGATTAAATTACAACACATAAATGATTATCACATACAAGACAGAATTTGCACATAATGAAGCAATCTCTTGTATTTCTTAGCGGTGTCCTTTTGTGTTTTTATGTCAAGAAAACAAAAAGACAAAAACGAGAAAAAAAGAACAAAGTGACATTGTTTTATTAAAGTACAACCAGATTAAATACACAGGAAAACATAAAAACCTTAGAAGTACATTTACACAAATGTACGTAAGAATTCTGATTATCCATACGTGGAGAGGTATGTATTGAACCCAACACTTACTTTCTGTACTGCATCACTGAGTTGTAGTCATAGGGAATGTTGTAGTTGATAGTTTTTGCTTTGTAAAAGTTTCTCTCCTTTCCTGCAGAAATGTAAACATTTAACATAAAAACATTTGACATTTCATTTTCCCTTCAAGTGTATTTTATGTAGTCAGCAGTCCCCTAGCAATAACTTACGCACAATAACAACAAATTATTTGCTCTGGGTTAACACATTTTTATATATATACAAGGAAATAAAAACAAAATGCACAACAACCTGTATCACAATTCCCAGTTAAAATGGTAAGCTGTCGTACTGTATCTGTAGCTACGCACCCTCGCATCCAGTTAGCAATAACGAGATAGAAAAAAAACACTCATTTGTACAAGAAAGACTAAAGCAATTAGCCTACCTCGTCTAATATTTTCACTTTTGATAAGGATATATTGATCCCTGTCGGAACGTGAATGCTCGTGGTGGAAACCAAGAGCGTGGAGAATTTCATGCTGCACCACAGATGTGTAAAGACAACCATACTTATTTAAGGAAATTGGCTGTCTTCCTTTAATCATGCCTACAAAAGACCAACACCTGGGAGAGAAAGAGAGAACATTGATGAATTTATGGACATTGATAATTGGTATTTTCTCACTGCAATATACACCTGCATATGTGTGTGTTTTCTTACCCAGATCCAGGGAAAATGTAAAGGTAATTTTTATGTGAGTTGTCCTTTCCAACAAATCTAATGCATGTTCTATCCACAAATTCCTTCAGAAGATTCCTAATGAAAAACCTTTCATCACGACCTTTAGAAACAGAGCACAGGCTTTATTTTTAATGATCTTATTCTGGGACAGAGGTCTGCATGATGCCTTTTAGTAAATAAATGTCCAAATGAGCTTGCACAAAAAGCAACAAGCGTTCTTGTAAAGGCACCATGTTCAGTCACGCTCAAATGACCAGAACACACATGTATATAGCCTGCACCTATTTATTAATTCAAATGTCAGCTTTTGAAATTTTACAAAGCAAATGCTTATTTACATTACATTTAGCAGACGCATTTATCCAAAGCGACTTACAATTTGAGCAAAATGAAGCTGCAGTAAACATAGCAGGTCATAGAGTAAGAAGAAGATGATGATGCATGTTATGTCTTTATGGTGTGGAAAAGAAAACACCACTCAAAACCACAACTGTTTTGCAAATGCTACTTTAGTTGCTAAACTATGAACTCACTAAACAAGATGCTTTTATGAAAGTCCACTAACCTCAGGCTTAAGCTAACATCCATTTGTAACATGTACCGCACATAAATCATGTATGTCTTTAGTTTTACAGGCTTAGAGCAAAGAAAATACCCCTGCATACCTGTCATTATCCTAATACATTTCAGGTTCAGTTTTGATTTAAAAGAAAGATCACCTTGTTTTAAAAGTAGTTTTGGAGGATTGATCTAAAATGTAGAAACCTAAAAGCAGGTCATTGTTGTGGTTTGACAAGGACTGACTGATTTGAAGATCAAAAAGCAACTTACTGTAACTGCTTGAGATTTGAACAGGGATAATGACAAATCTTCCATTTTTAGGCCATGTGCAGCCTTTCTCTGTGCAGGGAGCTGCGTTCCTGTTTTTAATTAGCATGATATCGTCTTGGTACAGGTTACCTGAAGAAAAGCAACAGGTTATCATTCAAAAAAATGGACAATGTTTTTGGTTTTCATAAAAGATGTCTTATGTCATGAAAGGAGGTTACTTTTTTGTTAAGGGTAAATATAATAGGAATTGTCGTTGGAATTGATTACTTTTACTAATATTCTTTTAAATCTATTGTCTTACTCAGGCCGTTATTTGCTGTTTCGATGGCTTCAAAGGCATCTTCAGGTTCTGGCAAAGGGAAAAGTAAAAGAAAAAACAAATTAGTAAAACACACTGTTAAACATGTGATTCATTCATTCATTCTTTCATTCATTCATTCATTCATGTTGAAGTAAAAACCAAACTTGCCTTTGGGTTTTTTCCCACCAAGAACAACCTGCAAGACATTTTCACAATATTTCAAATATATTTTTCATAGACACTGAATTTAACAAATTCCTAAAATCTAACTTGAAAAGAGAATATACTTACTTGATGGCTGGACATTGCTAAAAGGATGATGAAGAAGAAGGCTGCAGTCATGATGTTGAGTCCTCACTTTCAGCCTTAGTGCTGCTTCAGGCGTTCTGCTCCTCCTTTTTTACTTTCGACTGTCACAGACTTTTCAACGGTCAATCATATTTAGGGGGAAATGACGTTCCAGCCTTTGACAAACACAAACACTCTTTTCAAAGAATATGAAAAGGTCAAGAGGTTAAAAGCAGAGGTCACATTTAGCTGTGTGTGCACTGGTGGGCTGTGTCACAATGACAAATAATTCACAAAAAAAAAAAAAAAACGACAAGAGGTTAAGGTTGGTTTGACAGAAAGTTCAGACAATGTAGAAAAAAACATTGACTGCATTGATGGTAACAATGATAAATGTTCTATTTCACTTTTATAGCAAGAAAGTGTCATCGTAATTATTACTGAACTTGTTAGGAAGAATATAAACAAAAATAACCCAAAATGTTTTGTAAATCTGGGTGACGTAGGTTGAGGACAGTCACATGATTCTGTTACGCATTTAGCTGAAACTGCCACTGTCTCATAATCACTTTGAAAATATTTACAAAGTTGAACAATTTGCAGATGCGATAATGTGGGAGTGTGCTTTCAACTCTTTAATCTTGTGTATCCTGTCTTTGTTCAAGTATTTGAGCGCAGTACTGCACAAACCTCCTGAGCCTTTTCAAATATTCTCTGCCCTGCTTTTGACTTTGCTCTTTCACAGCTACACGAACAGTGTTCATTTTGTTTGCACTCAATTGCCTCAAAAAACAGTGTGAACATCACGGAAGACTTATTTTCTTTGGCTTGGTTTGTAGCTATGGAGACGGTCCCTGTGATGGTTCCTAGGACAATCCCTGGTCCTTTCCTGGTTGTTGGAGTCCTGGTAGACCAGTGTTTCCCAACAGTGGGAAAGAACAAGACATGCGGAAGCGTCTGATGTGGTTCTTCTGACGTTAACTGTCAATGTTTCTTTATCATAACGCAAATTCGTCCACGGCACATATATATCATCAGGAAAAACCAAACAAATCTCACAAAAAGTACATGTAATATATATTATATTATTATATTATATGTAATATCTATATGTGTATTTGTGAGATTTAATAATCTACCAGTTATAAATATAATCTACCAGTTTAAATGACCTCAAAATTAACTACACTTTTGGCCTGTTTAGTCGAAGACAACGCTGATATACTGGCAGGAATTGAAGAAAGACACTCACAAAGATCTTTTTCAACAGCTCTTATTTATTTAGTAAATACGTTTTTACAACTATCTGCTGCCACCTAACATAAGAGGATTTAATTGCTCTGCCTGTCATGCTTTGATAAACAAAGAAAGAATATTGGCAATAAATAAATACTAGTTTTGGGAACAATGAAGTGACATTGGATAATTTTTCAAGGCACACCTAATGATCTCTTACGGCACACTTACGACACACACGCAGTGGTTGGGAATCACTGTGGTAGACGATAGCTTTTCTGGTGCAGGTTACTTTGAACTCCTTGTCCAGGCCGTAAAGAAATAGTTAGAGCTTGTTACATTCCATCAGCACTATTGATCTGACTTGAAAACAAATCAATTTCTGGGTTATGGGTTTTTTCAAGCCCTGCAAGATTCACTGGTCTCCTGGCACTGGTAGAGTGGTGAAAGTGAGGTTGTGAAGGCTCTGATGGGAGGCACTGACGCAGCCAGGTGCTGGCTTTTACTCTCTTTGTTGACATTGGTTTGAATTGTAATGTTATCTTTCGTATGCAGAATACTTTATTTTTTGTTTTGACACAGAAAAAAGTAAACATGAACCACGTGACAACTGACTGACTGAGATAAATATGCTGGGACCTTTAAACTGTCCCACAACATTGTTGAATAGAAGTAGGTGCCTGCCCAAACAAGTAATGATAAGCATTATGTAAAGAAGCCAATGCCAACAATGTTTGTCATCACTTTCAGTCACACCTACTTTATACCTTACAGGTATGACACCTCTAAGCTTCTTCACAAAGTTTCACATAGGTACGGTAATCGCTGGCTGCAGACGTCTACTCTGATGTTTTGGAAATGATGACATGACATGAATGACCTTCAAATGCATGTGATGCCTTTGAATGTGTTTAATGTGTCACTTAATACCAGTTTTGCTTAAATTGTAGTGAAAGAAACAAAACATATGCGTGTTCTGCTCCAACGTGTTTTATAAACACCAAATGGTGGAGCGGAGAATAGTCCAGGGTGAACGGCGCTCTGGACTGTTGATTGCTGGGATTGGCTTCAGCTCATCGGCAAACCTGCAAAGGGTTAAGCGGTTGATGGATGGATGGATGGATGGATGGATGGATTTAAGGGAAGAACTTATAAGACACCTAAAGCCTCTCCAACTCTGTGCCAAGCACAAAGTTAGAGTTGTCATGATAGTAACTTTAAGTTCAGTTTAGGTTACGTTTAAGTTTACACTTGAGCAAATAGGAATTGTTTTCTGTGTTTTCTTGTTTCTGTCATGACTGTCTTTGAAGAACATGTTGGATATTGATATTTTGCCAATCAAAACCCATGTAAGGCCAAAGGAAATAGCTGTAGGTAATTTGCCTTTAAGCTATTGTGTTGATATGCTGTGCTGTCTGGAATGTCGTTGTGATTCTGGAATGTCGTTTTGCACAACGTGTTTTGGCCCTAAAGGTCAAAACACGTTGTACAAAGCGAAACAGAATTTCAGCTATAAAACGTCAACTGCTTATAAAGTGAAAAACTTTCAGGTCCCATTTGCAGAGAATTATAGTAATAAAATAATCAAAGCTTGGTCGTCTTTTTATTTTCTCTGATATATGACGTACGTAGACAGTAAAAAACAGAAGTTGTTTGGCAGAACTACAAACAAATCCTTGTAGTTGAGACATAAATGCAGCACTGATAAGATTTTAATAACATTTACCTTGTTACTGAGAGGGGACCAAAGGATTGCATGGGTAATTTGCCAAAACTATGGCTCTTTGATAGTTAAAGCAGTGATGGTAGGACCAGTGTTGTGAATCATTATTCATTAATAACTTAAATTGATTTCCAACAAATCTTGGATTTGTGATGGATGGACTAATTGAATAGTTATTACTGAAAAGTAAAAATTTGACAAACAAGGTATAATTATTAAATTAAATGAGATGTAATTAAATTATTTGTTGTGGCGTCAAAGTAACAAGTAGTTACGTTATTAACAGACATAACAATGGAATGATGCAACTTGTATGAATCATTAAATCAGTTATGAATTTCAACATCATTACACTCTCTCTTATCACAGTGGTGTCAGAAGGTTAACAGGAAGTGATTCACAGTGTGCCCATGCTTTGTATGTGAAAAACATGCTGTGGTTTGTTTAGAGCAGTGGTTCTCAAACTATTTATACTCTGTACCACCTGAGAAAACATTGAGCTCTCTGACTACCACCATGATGACCAACATTAGACTAGAGTATTCTTTTTTATATATATATTTTATTTATAACTTTTCAATATATAGAAACAGGGTAGGATACACACACAGATAAAACAAAATCAAAAGAAAGAATTACAATGAGCAAAATTGCTCATTACAATTAATATACCAGTCAGCTATAAGTCAAGCATTTTAAAGTTACATTGGCAGAAAGTGAGAGATTACTTTTACGTTATTCTTGATAGATATAGTAAGAAAGGTTGCCACATCTAATCGAAAGTTGCAGAGCTGAGAGAAACACTGTATCGAATCCTTTCTATATGTAGCAGGCTGGTGACTTCAGAGAGCCAGGCCTTAGAAGAGGGCGTCACGTCGCTTTTCCACAGAGATAAGATGTTCCTTTTTGCAATGATCAGACCATATTGTATTGTATAGTTTTACGGTGCATGTTGGTGAGCACAGAGAGGTGTTGAGAGCAACCCAGGATTGCAGTGCGTGGGTCTGGAGGAATATTGCAGTTATATACCTCAGAGAAGCATTTATGCCTGGAGTACTGTAATATTCTAAATAGCATCCTTTGCAGATGGAGAAGAGAGTTATTGTTTATAAACAAAACGCAAGTGTTGCTTAGTTTTCTTTCCTTTAAAAAATGTATATCTTGACATTGTGAATCCAAGCCACAAATGTTCTGGCGGATAATACACCTGCTGTTACATGTTAAACAGTGAAGCAAAAATGGCATTTTCCATTGCTTTTATTGATAGAGTTGGTCTCCAACAATGTCCTGTCTCTGGTATAATTGCAGTGATGTGATCTTCATATTTCTTCAAATTCTGTTATGGACAAAGGTACATTTCAAACGTGGTAGCTTATTACATGTAGGATGTTTAGACATTGATGTGACATGAATGTGTACACCCTCAGGGAATTGATTTGAATGTACTTACAACATTCATAAAGCATGTTGACACGAGCGTAGTCACTATCAGACATGGATTTTTTTTTTCCAAGTACACGGGTGAGATCATCACGGACAACGATGGTCGGTGCCCCGTTTTTGGAAAAGGCTTTGCTTGAACAGGACACACACAATCAAAAAAGTTAAAGAATGTTATTAAATGAATGAGTCTAAAGACAAACCTACAATTACCGTACGTCACAAAAATGAAGACAAACCAGGTGCAGACTGCAGCAAACAACTGACTTTAAAAAACCCAGTACAGTAGGTGGCAGTGAAGCAGTCCACAGTCCAAAGAAAACCTTACATTTGGTTTCAATGCTGCGGCTTTGAATATATGATGAGTTTGAAAACATTTAGTTGTACACTTACTTTTGGTACTGCATGACTGAGTTGTAGTCATAGGAAATATTGTAATTTATTGTTTTCAACATGGAAAAGTTTCTCGCCTTTCCTTAGGAATAAAACAAACAAAAAAGTCAGACATTCCATACACCATGTCATATATATAAACATACATAGGTTAACTATTGAATAAATACTCTGTATTGATTTGGGGTCATGCTAAAGTAACTGTGCATCCTGACTCTACGAGGGCCACAGCCCAGGTTCAGTGTATTCAGCTAGTTGCTATGATCGCTGTAGAATTTAATGTCACACACAGTTGGGGGTCTCTAGGGTTTGAAGTTGATATTTTTTCTTGGTTTCAACTTCCTGCATCACCTAGTACTGAATGTTTACTTTTATTATAAACCTGAATTACATTGTAACCCCCGTGTTACCCCCATGTTACAATGACACATTCTGATTATCTATGGACATCAACATGGACACGCCCCATTGATTTAAAACAGCAATTAAGTAAGCAAAACCAACCTTTACGGATGTTATGCCAGTTAATTTTCACATGTTCATTCCTGTCGGAGCGGGAATGCTCATGGAGAAAACCCAGAGCATGGAGGAATTCATGCTGCATCACTTTGGTGTACATACAAAGATATTTGTTCAAGGACAGTGGCTGTTTTCCCCTAAGACGACCCACAAAAGACCAGCATCTGTCAAACACACACACACACACACACACACAGTTCATGTAAATAAATAAATGTACATTTCAATTTGTGTAGTGATTCGTGACATTGTGTGTGTACGTGTGTGTGTATGTGTGTATTTGTGTGTGGTCTCTACCCGTATCCGGAGAAAATGTTGATATAATCTCGCTGATTGGTCCTCAGAACAAATTTAACACATGTTTTCTCACTAAAGCCTTTCAGGATGGAAGTGATCCTGAATTTCTCCCATCGATCTTGAAGAAAGAAAGAAAGAAAAAGATTATTTCACATGCACCGCAGCTTTTACATGTACAATAATATAGAGCTCAGTGACTTGACTGGTTTAAGGATCAAGCTGTGGCTTACTGTATCTTGCTGAGATCACGTAAGGCACAACCGTATGGTTTCCTTGTTTAGGCCACTTGCATTTATACTTTGTGCAGGGAGCTGCATTCCGATTTTTATACCAAACAATGTCTTCTTGAAATAGATCTGTAAAATATGATGCAGCTTAGTTTTTCAAAGTCAACATACAACAAAAAACATTGGATGTTTTTCAGCCGACAGCGGCTGAACGGAATCAGTAAATCCTGATTTCACCATGATTTCGTAAAGGCTTCATGTCAGTCAGTGTTACTTCATTAGTGTTAGTCATTACTTACGTAATCTTTTATTTGCTCTTGCGATCAGCTCAATGGCTTCGTCTTTGTCTTCTACAGGACAACAGAGAACAGTTATTACACAGAGGAACGTCCTCCTAGACTTAAAATCAGGATCTTACCTTCTTCATCTTCTCCACCAACACCAGCCTGAAACAAGTCATAATATTGAAGATACACCCCGTAGAAGATTTTGACTTTTAACAAATATTATTTCATTCATCATATATTTTCACCACAGTTCTGTTGAATTGGTGAAGGATAGCAGATTTACTCCCGAAAAAAAACAAAACAACAACCATGTGAATAAAGACTTACTGCAGAGGTGGCCATCAAAAATAAAAGAATGAGTGAAAGTAAAACCAGAGTCATGATGAGGAGAAGGTTAAAAACTCCAGTATTATTTCTGCAGCTCAGCCTCTTCCTTTTTATAAGCAGCTCTCACAGGGTGTGGCTGTGGTGTGTAAACAATGTTTTAAAATAACTGATTATGTTCTTAAATTTGAACAACTTCATGTGTCAGCCACAGAGTCTGTCTTCTATAAACACTGGCTCGTCTGCCTTGGTAATTACTCAGTAGTATGCCAGGCTTGCTGACACAGAACAGGAGAGAAATTATTGAGTGCTTGATATTATTTTTATTATTTTATTTTTTATGACAAAAGCAACAACAACAATAATAATAATAAGAACAATTATCTTTATTATATTCATACCATTAAATACCAAATCCACTGAAAACTTGCATGACAATATTATTATATTGCTGTATCTTACCATTATATTTTTTAAAAATTAGCTAGTAAATATACTCTTATTTATATATTTATTTTTTATTTTCTGATTCTGAAAACTTAAAAAAATATTTTTTTCCTGGGGCATTTTATTTTTTTCCTTGGACACTTGAGCTAACATACAGTTATTAAATAAAGAATTAGAATATAAAGACCTTCAATAATATGCTCAAATAAAATCTGAATAATAAAAGAAAATTTAAATATAATGCAAGTCCTGTACTGCAGTTAAATCTTTTACACACATGTAAAAAAAACAGAAAGTGGTGACTCAACCACTTCCTGGAGCTTGAAAATTATAATATCTCCATGAAGTAATGTCATCATCAGTTACCTGACCAACCTGGGAGGAGATAGTCAATCTGTAATCCATGTCAATATTATTGACAAGACGTTTTGGAATAATTCCAGCTGGACGGCACAGCAGCTGCAGCTTGGCAGCCGTTACTGGAGTGTTCTCTAGCAGGACAACTGCAATATTGATACTAAGTACTTCTTTTCTGAGAATGTTTTTGGCAGATCTTAGTTGTTTTACTGACCCCACTAGAAATACGTCAACAAAAAGGACAAAGAAAATGAGTGACTTTCAGCTCGTCCCCTCGTTATGAGAGGCCACAGTGGTAGTCCACATAGTTTTTCCTAAAACCTTCAGGTCACTGGCAGGAGGTGTGCCATTGCACCACTGTAGCCCTCAACTTCAACAATAAGAACAAAGAAGAAAGAACGTATAAACCATAGTCATGTTTATTGGACCAAATATCTGGAAATTTGGAAAAACGACCAATGAGATTCAATTATTTTCATTGATGTCTTTCCAAAGATTTGCCATATAATCTCCACCCCACCCCTCCTCTGAACCCCTACCAAATTGCAGTGAAAAATATTTAGTTGTATGATTTTTCCGCTGAACCACAGGAATAAGTCCTGCTGACGGTTTGAACCCCAGACAGACATGTCCGAAGAAACCAGATAAAATGTATAAAAAGACATTGCACAAAATACTTCATTTTTATTTTGTTTATTATCAGATATATTATATATTGAATAGTTAACATTGCAACAAAAATGTACATTTGCCTTCCAGTGACCGAAGTGTAATGGTGTAATCACAGTGATGCGATCTGGAGGATGAACAGTCTTCAGTTATCTGCCAGGACAAAAATAAATGTTGTCTTTAAAAAAGAAAAAATGAAATCGATGTTTTATAAACTCTCTTCAGCGTTACAATTTTTTATTTACTAACAACATTCATAAAGCCTGTTGACACGAGCGTAGTCAATGTCACTCATTGACTGTGCAGTTCCCAGTACACGCTTAGCATCATCGTTGGCAATGATGGTCGGGGCTCCATTCTTGGAGAAGGCTGTGCTTCATTAGGACACACACATAAACATGTTTATTATTGTACAAATGGAATACAACCATGAACTGTACAAATATATATAATATAATACAAATATAAAAACAATTCCTAATAAATGTATTAAAGAACATGCATCCATACAAAAACTTACTTCCTGTACTGCATGACAGAGTTGTAGTCATAAGAAATATTGTGGTTTATAGTGTTGAACTTGGAAAAATTTATAGTTTTCCCTGAGACAAAAACAGAAAACAACAAAAAGAAAAATGTGTTAATGTGTGTTAGTGGTGACAAGAAACTGTTTAAACTTTCATCTACTGTGTAATCCAGGTGGATCGGCTTCTGCTGCTGTGACATCATAAAGATTAGGAGGAATACGTTTCACACTTTCTACATATGTCAGACTTTTGTCTTGGTGAATTCAGCTGGATTTTGCTGTCACACACGGTTCCACATCTTAAGCGTTTGTGGCTCAGTTTGATATTTATTCTGTTGTATTTCTCTGAAGCTTTCCAGTGTTTGTTTAAAAGTGAATTTTCTTATCGCTTGCCAACTTTCTATTTACACTCGCTCTGCTTAAGAAGTCAGCTCTGAACTCTTAGTTTCTAGTTGTTTTTCCCTACCTGTTAACAGATAAGAAATAAAATAGACCATTGAATTATGGCCGAATTATGGAATTATGGTGTTGGGAAGGTCAGCTCACCGTCAATAATGTTATTCCATTGAATTTTCACAAATGCATCCCTGTCAGAGCGGGAGTGCTCGTGATGGAAACCCAGAGCATGGAGGATTTCATGCTGAATAATTCTTCTGTTCAAACAATAATATACCTTCAAGGAGAGTGGCTGTTGTTTCCCAATACGACCCACATAAGACCAGCACCTGTCGTACACACACACACATTTTATATGCATTCAAGGTTTACTCTATATTCGGATGTGTTTATTTTTTGGTCTCTACCCAGATCCAGAGAAAATGTAGAGGAAATCTTGATGCTCTTCCCTCGGAACAAATTTAACACAGGTTTTTTCTTCGATGTCCATCAGGACCGCAGTGATCCTGGACACCTGGATTTCATCTTGGAAAACAAACACAAATTAATGAACACATTAATGTCCTGGACGGCATATATCCAGCATGGTCAATCAATGACATCGACTGTAAAACAATGTACAATTACTGTATTTAACCCTTTGTATGATGAGTAATTCCAAAATACTGTTACTATACTGTAACCTGACCCCAGCTAAGATGAAGGAGCTTACTGTACAGTAAACACTGCGTGTGCTTATCTTTTTACAGCCAAGCATCATGACATTGCATGCGGTGATGTCTGACAAAAATATGGAGCTGGGACTTTTCCTTGTTTTAGAAGACGAGGTCGTCCTCGTCCTCTTTAAATACAAATAAAGTTAATTTAAGGTCACAGATATGATACATTAGCATTGAAATTCTGCCAAAACTGTTTAATTTAAATATTTAAATGTAAGCAGCGTTTAAAGACCATGTTGCCACTCACTATATGTTGCTGAGATTTGGTAGGGCACAATGACATCTGGTCCATATTTGGGCCACTTGCAGCCCCACCGTGTGCAGGGAGCTGCATTCCTGTTTTTAACAGGAACAATGTCTTCTTGGATCAGGTCTGCAGGAACAAACGTATGATACAATTTTCTTTTTAAATCAACAGCCATTGACATTTTTTCCATTAAAGTAAAGTTTGGCAACAAACTGAACAACAGAGTATACCACTCTTCCTGTTCCTTCTTAAAAAAGTTTAAATCCAAATTAGTCAGTGTCAAAGCTCTTACGTAGGTCTTCATTTATCCTTGCAATGGTTTCAATGACATCCTCCGATTCTTCTACAGTCAAAAAGCAGAGAAAGGAAATTAATACAATAAAAAGAAAGACCTTTTAAATAAATTGTCATTAATATTTTTACCTTTTTGAGTTTCACCAATAATGCCCTAGAACAAATCATGATATTGCACATCGATTATTTTTTCTATAAATTTTTCTAAACATTATCACCACAGATAGTAGCATTTAAAAATTAAAATATAGAAATACATGAAAAAAGACTTACGGGACAGGTGGTCATCAAAAATATGGAGATAATAGAATAAAAGACAGGAGTCATGATGAAGTGAAGGATTCTCTCAAGTCTGAACTTCACCGTTGGTACAAGAAGGCAGTTTTAAAGGCTTTCTTAAGGTGTGGCTGAACTTTTTAGTTTGCCAACAATCTTTATAAAAAAAATACATGGGCGAAATTCTGAGTATGTCTTTTATAAAAACCTATGAATTAAATATGGACCTAACCGAATGTGTACAATGATTTAATGATAACTTTCAAATGTCTTAGGGTTCTATTATTCACTTGTAAAATATAGGACAAATACGGAAAAAAAATCAATATTAAACCAAATTTAAAATAATTGCAATACTGAACTGTCAACAACAACAACAACAACAAAAAAACAGTATCAGGGCCACTGGGAAAATAAAAAGTTTAGGGCTGACCCTGGGCAGAACTGCAGTTCAACCCAGGCCACAAAACAAACAAACCTTTGCACTTAAACTCATGCCATTGGTCAGTTTGACCGTGGTGTCAAGTGCATTGGGGACAGTGCATTGGAGTGTGGACTGATGAGACTGCTGAAAAAATAAGTGCTGCACTGACAAATGCTGGAGAAAATAGCATTAAAACTACAGTAAATACCCTGGTCTACTGATAAAATGGGTATGGGGTTCCAAACTCCTGGACTGGGGGCCATTTCCTGCTCACACAACCACCACATCTGGCCTGTGACTAAATGTTAGAAAAAAACGAAAAACACAAACAAGACAATTCTAAAGCTATATATACTTTTTTAGACTTAGCTTAATGCACAAAACTTAGTAGACTTTGTCTACTTAGTAGGAAGTAGACAAGTTCAGTCCACATAGACTCATACACCAAACAAGAAAACACATTTTAATAGCGCCTGGATCTGTTGAAAGACACCTTATTTCAGTAGTTTTAGTATAAATGCCATCCCTTCTTGTTTGGAAGTATCATCACAGTGATGTAACCTGATAGGGAATGGAGGTGTTAAATATTGTGTACGCCTTGTAAATATTATTGACAGGATGTTTGGCACTCGTCCAATAGTTTGGCACGTCAGTTTCAGCCAATGTGACGATGACTGTAATAAAAGATCCAATAAAAGGGATTGTCTTTTTAAGGTTTTTTGCTTATTTACTCTTTAATTTAGTTTTCTTTGGATGTGGCTCACCCAGGATGACAGCTGCTCCACGCCTGTCAGTCATGTGGTGCTTATGTATTGTTTTCTAACCCACATATGTTATTAGTTTTTGTACAAATTGTGTACAGTAGAACATGTTTGTCAATCTCAACGCGTACAGGATGTTCCTACCCGCAATGCACGTGAAACTATTATGTGAAATATAGGTGTTGGTTGTTCTAAACAAGTATTCTAGTCTAGTATTATAATATAGGGCAGTTCAAAATATCTGAAACTTTAATTATTTATAGTTGTTATATATCAGCACATTATAATTGGCTTACATTTATACAGTTTTCTTGTTTCAGCCAGCTCTTTATAACCAAAATGTGATCTAGTGTTAGATCCCCTTGGGCACCCTGGAGTAGAGGATTCAATTGTTTAGAACATTCAACCCCTGGATGTGATAATTCAAGAGGTAGTTTTCCAGCATAAATAAATCAATTAAATCACATTAATAGACATATACATTAATGTTAAGATGTGGGTTATAAGAAAGAGCAAAGCATTGTGTTTCTTTTACTTCATAAAGCACGTGAACAAGACCACAGTCACTGTACCTCGTTGACTTAGCATCATCTGCTGCTGTTGATGTTGCTTTATTAGCACACACACTGGACACACAAACACAGTACAAAAGTTAATTGCGCAAACAATGGGATACAATTACAGTATTCCGTGTAAATAAAGAAACACCCAGCCCAAACTTCGAAGGAAACTAATTTTATTTATGTTATAAATGTAAAATATTTGCTGCACTAGAATCTACAGCAGGTTGCATTTTACAATTTATCAAGGGACAGCACAACAGTGTGAAAATAGGCAGAAGATCATGTGTTTTTGAAAGCAGTTAGTAAAAGTTAAACTTATGATTATTAAAAATACTTCCTGTTTTAAAAAATGAATGACCCCCCATCCCCAAATTGTTAAAAACACTGGTTACTTTTTGTCAAACTGCATACTATATGTCATGTGTAAAAATATCACGTCTAGCTAAAGTGCGTAAAATTTCACCCCAGAATAACACATACTGTACTGAAAACACTGTGGTTCCTGCAAAAGTGCACAAATTAAGAAAGTATTTTTTGGTAATATTCATTATAATTGAATAATATTTGGAAATGAATAATCTTTTTTGTGGAGAATGCTATCATGTTAGCATAGCTTTAATTTATATTTGTAAATTTTTTTATTGTGTCAATTTTCGTAGTTTTTATCGCAGCAGGCGTGCATGTCACAATCACATAAACACAGCAGAGATGTTGATTTAAAATAAGGAGATGAGCAAAAAGGAAATGGCAGAGGGTTCACCCAAGGTTAAGCCTCAGCTGCCACAGGAGTTCAGCCTTCAGCCTTCTATTTATCTGCACCTTTCATTAGGTGTGGCTGAGGCTTTATGCCTGCAAACGATGTCTGCAAACAGAACAGAAGCAAAGTTAATGGAGGCGACATGTATGTATGACAGACAGGTAGCACGTCTGGCAACATGTGGTCCATTGTTTTTACATTTACCACTTACACATGAGGCAGCTTCCCTTTTTAAATAAAGAAATAATTGTTCCTTTATGACTGTATTATAATTACTACTGTTTTGTGGTTTGCACTCAAATGAAACTTAGACCTACATGTATTACTGTTACAATTAAAAAGTAAAACGACAGTGTATGAACCGCACCATACAGTAAACAAAACAAGACATGTCAATCAAACCTAATCAAAATCTTGAGTTGCCATCAGGAAAAATTATGTTTTAATTATAATTATATCATTAATTATAATTTTAAGTACACTTAAAGCACAAGTGGCAGTTTAAAAAAAGCTGCCTTTTTAATAAAAAAATTAATTGCTCAAAATCATTCTTGACGTATTTATTTCAGTCAAGTTTTGGATTCTTCGTCTCAACATGATTCAATCTAGCCATTTGAACAAAAAGATCAGACGTGCAGGTCCAGTGAAGTGGTAGGAGGACACAATAGACACCAGTAACCATGTGAGTCATGCAACTCTCCCAGTTACCTTACCTTACTGGGACTGGGAGGTGTTGACTACTGTGTTCATGCAAATACAAGGGCACATGGACTAAGTCCAGCAGGATGGCACGACAGCTGCAGCCTGGAGACAGTTTCTCCAATGACACTATAATGAACTACTGTGCTGGTCTGAACAGTATCAGGATCAGGATCAATGACTTGTCAATATATTTATCATAATTATTTATGAAATAATATTGTTTTCATCATTTCTCAGCTCTTGGCATAAATGGGTTACTTTTAAAATCATGAAGGGCAAATGCTATGAACTGACAAAGAAGAAACCATACGTCATGTTTTCTGTTTCTTTTTATTGATATCCATGACAGTTTTAATATGAGTACTTTTTTTACACGTTATGGTAGGCTTGTGATTTATTTTTTCGGACTAAACTGTACACTGATAAAGTAAGTTTACACGAATGTAGTCACTGTCACTCATGGAACTGGCAGCTCCCAGTTGACGGTTAGGGTCATCGTTGGCCACAATGGTCGGGAGCCCATTTTTAGAGAAGGCGTTGCTGTAATGGACACACAGACCACAGAATCAAATATTTAAAAAAAAAATCATCATACATGGTTAATACAATTTCATATGGTGCCTTATTAACTGGGACATTTTCAAACATTCAAAAGTGGACAATAACAAAAAAGCGACTTACTTCCTGTACTGCATGACTGAGTTGTAGTCATAGGAGATATTGTAGTTTATTGTGTTCACTTTGTCAAAGTTTCTCTCCTTATCTGTAGAAGGAAAAGACAAATAGGTCATCAGTGAATAAGATTGAATATATAAATCCAAAGGTAAATTATCACCATCTCTTCAACTGAGGCTGATACTAAGAAACCTACTTGTTCTTTGAAAAGTACAAGTCTGGAGGGAGGAGATTTTATTGTACACTATTCAATACAACTCTTCTGTCTTGATGTAATTGTGTTTTCCACTCCAACCTACTGTTACGTTAGCTAAGAAGTATCAAGTTTTTATTCCCATGATGTCCTTGTAGAAAATGCACTCCATTACTACATGTTTACCTAGCCAAACTTTTCAGTCAGTCTTAGGTTTTGTTTTCACTCAAAATTACGCAATTTAATTTGACCTTATTCTGTCTGGCATTAATCAAGGGTTAATTACAATACAACTTAACCAATGAGACAATTTTTAGGACGCACTATTCTACTGTTGCTCAGATAAAGTTCTAGAACATTTGAACATTCTTTATGCTTCTGAATTTCCCAGACAAATCCGGTAACATCTGAAGACTTTTGCCCTAGAGGCACATGTTGCATTGTATTAAAACAAAACTTGGCCGGTAAGCTAACCATCAATAATGTTCTCCCAGTTAATGGTCACGGATTCATCTCTGTCTGAGCGGGAGTGTTCGTGGTAAAAACCCAGACCATGAAGGATTTCGTGCTGAATCACCCTGGTGTAAAGACAGCCATTTTTTCTCAGGGAGAGGAGCTGTCTTCCACCAATTCGGCCCACATAAGACCAGCACCTGTCATTCACACACACACAAACAGATGTAGTTCATTTTAGGGCTGTGCCATTAATAACATTTATCATTTCTTTAATTACATGTTACAATAATCCCAATTTATTTGGATAATACATGACCTTAATTAAACACATTTAATCATGACTAATCAAGAAAAACAACACTCTTTAATGAGACAAATAATCTTTTGTTTGTATTGCGCAAACAGAAACTTAATTTAGATAAGATTAAATTTAGCTTCGTAGAGATTTTAAGTGTTTTAGTAATCAAGTTCATCTTGGTGAGAAAATACATCAAAAGCTCCTCTCAAACTTTGACTGAGCCGGTGTCTCCAATAATGCTCGTCAGTCTACAGTCCCTCACTCAGTGAGGTTGATCTGTCGTAACCTGGTGACCCGACCCAAAATTGAATCCTCAACAAACCCATGCTGGGCGTTGAGATGGTATTTCAACCTATAGGTGCTATTATTCACCTTTTATTTCGACAGCCCACATTTATTTACACTTGTTGTTTATACATGCCGGATGTGTGCAATTATTATTGACGTATGTAATGTGAGCTGGCACCTACCCAGATCCAGAGAAGATCTGTATGTAATCGCGTTGTGATGACCTCTCAATAAACTGAACACAGGTCTTTCTATTGAAGTCACGCAGAATGTCTTGGATCATTTTCCTCTGTTCGTCATCTTGAAAAACATAGCAAATATATTCAACAAATTGTGCCATTTATGCATTTCACATTCATAACAACTTAAAATGATTAATGAAATGTTGCCAATATATACAGTAGACTGGACGAAGGATCATGTTGGCACTCACTATAATCATCAGAGATTGTGAAAGGCACAAAGGAGTTCTTTCCAGTCATAGGCCACCGGCAACCCGTCTCTGTACAGGGAGCTGCATTCCTGTTTTTATTTGGCAGAATGTCTTCTTGGATCAGGTTGTCTGCAGAAAAACAAAATAGATATGTTTTTGTTTCAACTCAACAGACATTTTTGTGTGTGTCTAATAACAGATATTTTTTCAGCAACTACAGCTAAATATGACAATGTCAATTCATGTTAATCTTCGTTTGTTCTTGTGTTTCAGTATCTTACACAGGCCTTCGTTCACTCTGGCGATGGTTTCAATGACATCCTCAGCTTCCCCTATAGGTGAACACACAAACATGAAAACACCTTTAAGTAAGAGAAGCCATTTTAACACATGGTAATTATGTATATATATATATATATATGTTTAATTATAAAAACTTCTTACCTATAGGATATGCATTGCTGAGACCACCCTGAAAAAAAAAGCAATATTCTTTCTAATCAAAATATGTTATAATAATGTATACATTGGTTTCACCTTTTTTTTTTTATTTTTTTTTTTTTTTTACAAATTCTGTAATTCTTAACAGATGACCAAATGACAAGCAAATTTCCCCAAAATCTTTGAACTATTGAAGGGAAATGGGTTCAACAAGTCAAACGCCAAACACTAACCTGGTTAAAAAAGTAAATAAATCAAATTCAAATCTGACGGTATTATTTGAGGGTATAAAAAAGGATCAAATACTTACAGGAGAGGTGGCTATCCAATGCATGAGCAGAATGATAACAGGAATCATCGTGTACAGAGGGATTCAAGGTGCAGGCTGGTTTACAGCCAGAGCTTTCCTCTTTTTATAGGCAGCACTCTTTAGGTGTGGCTGAAGATTTTGGACTGCCATCAGTGTTTACAAAATGTTGATTATACAATTAATTTTAACAAACAGGCATGAGAGACAATGTGTGTCAACCTTTAGTTTATGTGTGCTGTGACACGCAAGCAGGATGATTGTTTGCTTGTTGCTATCATTGATTGGATGATACTACAGTATCAGTATCTCTGAGGAGATTGTTTATAATTCTTGACCTGATAAACCTTAATTTGATCCAACGTCTGTTTAAACTTAATTGATGCTGAGTTGTTTCTTCCTTGATTTGGTTTCGGCTCTGTTCCGTATGATTTCCAGACATGTTGCTACGGATTTTGGGCTCCACGAAAAGAATCTTCACTGGGCTCCCAACACAACACAGGCAAAAATCAAATTTAACTTAATTTAACTTACCATTAACATCAAGGACCCCTAGGGGCACCCCCCACCCCCAGTACAGTTTTATCCTCTTGGGTCTCTGTGTCGGAGCCTTGAAGGGCCTATGTGTTTAATATGTACACACTGTATTAGTAAAACAGCAGATGGAAATGCAAATTTTCATACATTTTTTCCAAAAGTCCAAGAAAGAGACAACTGCCTCTGCCACGTCTGCCTCAGCCACTTTCGAGAACTACTGTAAACTGTGTTAAAAAAAAGATCACAAACATGGCAGCCAGGAATAATGATCTGAGGTGATAAACCTTAAACTAAATAGACATCTGCAGTCTAAAAAACAAATTATAAATAATGCACTGCATGCTTAGAAATCATATGGGCATTATTTTGATTTTGTTTTTAATAATATTTTATTCCTGAAATGTAATTATCATCAGTGGGAGTCAGATGGATTTCTTTCCTCCTCCTTTCCTCTTTGTTTTTTTTTCTTCTAGCCCTCCTACAGTATATATGACGTGCAATTATTATAATTAATCAAAACAATATAATTGTGCATCGTGACTGAGCCAATTCAAGTTGTTCAAAGTACTGTGATTAAAACAAGTCAGGTTCCTTAAGTAACAATCAAAACTGATCTAAAAATAAATGAAACATTCAGTTTGTATTTGACATTTACACCTGCGCTGTCTCTATGTCTCTGTCACTCTCTCTCTGTCTGTCTCTCTCTCTCTCACTGCCACTGTCTCTGTCACTCTCTCTCTGTCTTTCTCTCTCTCTCTCACTGTCACTGTCGCTGTCACTCTCTCTCTCTCTCAAGCAACGCTATGTGCTAAAATTGGCTTTGTTTACATTCGCTGGTCATACGCCGTACACTTCCTTTTGTGTGATTTTGCGCACATTTTTTCACAGTGACTAAATACTGAACCACCCACAGAGACTTGAAAAAAGACTTGATGTGGACACTTATCTAAGCATAACAGGCATTTTGATTTTTAAATTTCTTTGAATGTGTTGCTGGTTCAAGTGATGTGCATATAAGATCATGTTTGTTATCAACAGGGAAATACAACAACCTACTGTCAAAGCTTTATTGATGAGGTTATGAATGAAATATTAGAAGAGGACAAGACTCTGGGTTTTACATTCTCAACGTTATCTCCTACAGATGTCTCCCTTCTTTCTGGAGATGTCTCATGTTTTAGAGGGACTGTTTGTTGGTCTAAACACCTTGTGTGGACATGTACGTTTTGGGCCCTTACGTGCAGTATTCCCTCTATACCAGGAGTGGCCAACCAGTCAAGAGGCTACTGTGTTACTGCAAAGATTCACATGATATACATGGGCACATGTCAAATGCACCATCTTTTAAAAATGACTTTTAGAACTTTCTTAATTTGCATCGACACCCATCGTCATGAGGTTGACATAAGGAAAAAACACACAAACATAAGGCCATGCCTGCTCTGTACTCTCTGAATTATTTTACTACATTTTACTACATATTTTACTGCATTCAGTAGAGCTGTTCGAGAAATGTTCGTGAAACAAGAGGCACAAACACCTGATTGACGAGCAGGTTGTGGCACACCTGTGCTTATGCAACTAACCTAATGTGCTCATGTGTCAACTAGCTTTTTCCACGTGTCAACAAACAGCAATGCAGTCTAACCTTAACATTTCACAGCATAGCTAGAACAGGTTTTTTAATTAAAAATGTAAACAATTCTCTAAGCTGTAACGCTGCAGTCCTTACTCAAACTGGTCTGTTACTACAGCCTCTCCTTTAAATATCATGTAATACAACTTTAAAGTCTGTACACTCGCCCACATCCTGTTTCTTCGAATTCTAACAGAACGGGGTTGTGGAAGGTAGTGTAAGGTAGGACCCTTGTAGTACATTCGGTGCATTGGTATAGTCGGTGTGAAAGAAGCCTAAGCTTGTGTCCCTATTGAGAGAGCTGCACTAACAGAGAAAAATAGAGGGAGAGAGAGAGATTGAGAGAGAGGTGTTGTCTGTCAAGATTCTCATTCCTCCAAGTCATGTCATCCATAGAGTTTAGTTGTAAGAGACTGGACTTCTTCTTTGAGTTTGAAAGAAGTTCCGTTCCTCAACTGAGGAGCAGTTAAACATGTCATATGTCAATGGGAGTTGTTGTGATCAGATCTGTTTAGAGAACACTGCTGTGGTAAAAACCTCCTAGGATTCCTAGCAGGATGATATATAGCAGATACAATCATACAATCATCACCGCAACGACTCTTCACACCTTGACTTGTGACTCCTTTGTGAAGTGGAGAAGTGTGTGGTCTAGAGAAGTTTAACTACTAGACTTCCCTCTTACATCAATCAGAAACTGATAAAGTTCCTCATTTGAGAAACTACTTTGATTGTTCCTTAAGTAACAATTAAAACTGATCTAAAAATAAATGAAACATTCCGTTTGTATTTGACATTTACACCTGCGCTGTCTCTATGTCTGTCTGTCTGTCTGTCTGTCTGTCTGCCTCTCTCTCTCTCTGTCTGTCTCTCTCTCTCTCACTGTCACTCTCTGTCGCTGTCACTCTCTTTCTCTCTCTCAAGCAACGCTATGTGCTAAAATTGGCTTTGTTTACATGTGGACTTGATGTGGACACTTATCTAAGCATAACAGGCCATCCTCATTTGAGAAACTAAACATCTTTCAAGCTCAAAGAAGTCCAGTCTCTTACAACTAAACTCTATGGAAAAGGAGCGCTGTTAAGGGCTTAAAGACTTAAAGTCTAGAAAGCAGTACTTAGTGCTGTTTGTTGGTATAAACACCTTTTGTAGACATGTCAATTTTGTTTTGACCTTTTTAGATTGTGTGGTAGACAGATTTTGCAGTTCAACAAGTTGTTGAGAAAAAAAAAAAACTAAAAATAGTCTTTTTGTTATTTTGCTGCTTAGTTCCTGCACATTGCCAGACAAGCGTTTAAATATAAAAGATATCAGGATTACAACGTTTGTTCACAAATTATGTTTTAAAGGACACTTATGCGAAATTTGTTTTGCTTTTTTTTGGCCTTCATGTCTCGTACGTTACATCTGATTAAATGTCAGGAGTGCCATGTTTCAGTTCATGTGTGCCTGCTCCATGGAGCTTTTCAATAAAATGTTCATAAAACAAGAGGCACAAACAATTGTTTTACGAGCAGGTTGTGGTGACAGTTAGACTCCACCACACCTATTTATGCTTATGCAACTAACCTAATGTGCTCAGGTGTCAACCATCTTTTTCCACGTGTCAACAAACAGCAATGCAGTCTAACCTTAAATGTTTTTTAGTTCAAATATCTTGATTTCAGAGTAACATTTCACATTTAACATTTGTATTTTTCATTACTTTAACATTACTTTTAAGATTTAAATTTCATACTTTAAAAATATTTTATCTAATGATCTATTTGATCTATAAGTCTAATTGTATTTGTAAATGAAATAAAAAAGGCAACAGTTGAAGCTAAATTCAGAAATTAAATTCAAGTTTTTTTTCCATTTGCGTGACTTCACAAACAGTGCCTCATACTTGACCCATGCATCTGTTTAGAATCTGCTTTTCTGGTTTAACTTTTTCTTGTAGGTAAATACCTACAAGATTATGTGGAGGGGCAGATAATAACCCAGGCTGTCAAATTGTTGTTGTTTTTTTTTCAACAGGAAATGTTGAAAAAAAACCAACGCCTTGGATATGATTCATTTATCTTTGTTTATTGAAATTATTTCTAATAGGTAAAAATGTTGGAATCTCCTTTGACGCCCAAGTTTTTTTTAGCTGTGATTTTATATAACTTGTCCATCTACAGACATTCTTTCTACCAGAAAAGGTGTTGACTAAACATTGGTTGTGCAAATCTTTACGTAAAAATTCCTTCACCCGTGGAGAGAGATGTTGCAACATTATAGATAATGTATCACATTGCCTCCAGTGCAGCGCTTCTTAACCTTGTTGGAGTTACTGAACCCCACCAGTTTCATATGTGCATTCAGTGCATTCTTTATTGAAAAAATAAAATATGTTTTTTTTTTTCAAATTCCAGACATAAGTATATGTTTTATTTATATTTTTTAAATTCCCTGCAGCACAGATAGGCCAAGTGATGTAGCATGATCACCTGTAGCCCGTGATGGCCAAGCCGGGCGCGTCATCACAAATCATATGAGCTGGCTGTGTGTCCTGTCCTCCACCGAACCCCTGAGACTGACTCACTCAACCCCTGGGGTTCGATTGAACCCAAGTTAAGAACCACTGGTCTAGTGAGACATCCCTGTCTATGTCATACTGTATCAAACAACAAACCGTTTTTGAAATTTACCAAATTCCCTCGTGGTCTCTGGGTTGTGCAGTTGGAATTCTCCTTTTTGGGTTTGTCTATATTTATGAGTGAGTGTATAATTATTAACGTACAGTACATGATGTACAGTACATTCAGAATTACAGGGTATAGTTTAGTAATTGTCACTTCCACGTTGGATTAACTATTTTTACTTCTTTTTTTTCACTACAACAACAACCGGCTTAAATATGTGAACAGAGACGTCTGTCATGTTAAGTACGCGCTACCAGACTAAGGTATGTTGTTGGAGGTTACAACCAAGTACTTTCCCACCAGTGTAAACTCTACCTTTAAAGCAGTCTTAAAAAATAAGAGACATTTCTTTTCGTGAATCATGCTAACGCCACATAGCAAGGTCAATAATTTGTAATTTATTTTCAATAAGTTCTTTGTATTGATGTTGCAAGTTCTCTATGCACACATGAACTCTACTGCATGTGTGAACGTTAACCATGGGTTATCCAGGATTATACCACAGTAGATTGGAGAGTAGATAGAACACTCTTGAATGACCAGAAGTAAGACAGTCTGTAAATGAGACTCTTAAATGGACCAACAGTTTATCCCCAGCATCAGGCTGTAGAAGGATAATGAATTACACAGTCTTTTACCTAAATTCCAAAAGACTGTGCAGTTCCAGATGAACACATTTTCTACACAAGCCACACCCTCCTGGTACTACCTTAAAAGAATGGGAATCTCAGCAAGTGGACTAGACCCTGCACCAGACCTAACAGGTAACTCTTTGTCTGATTGTATTCTGAACTGACTCGTTGAGTTCATTTTCCTGCAATTAGATATTGATAAAATGTATGTGTATCTTCAGTTTTTAAATTTGTAGGACTGTGGTGGACCATCATGACTCCTAATTTCTTCATTCTCTTCATTTTTACATTGACGTCCATCTTGTCTGTAAGTTAGGTGGTAACATGAACATTTTGAAGACTTTAAGTCATAGTAAACCATGTTTAATCATCTAAACAAAACAGTGGAATATGTGTATAATGCCGTCCTGGGGTCTTGCAGGTGTCGACTGGTGAAGAAAATGAAATAAGTGAGTAAAAATAAAGCACTGTTGTCCAGTTAAAATCCAAGTCTCATCTTTTATTTTTCTTTATTTTTCCTTCGTCTGTTTTCATTTTTCCAGATACTGCTGACGTCTCTGACATTATTGAACAAGCCAACAAGGACCTAAGTAAGAACATTTAAACTGAATTAAAAAAAAAAAAAAAAAAACTAAAAGAACCACAGAAAAATTGTTGCGTGACAAACTAGACAAACTTTTGAATTTGAATGGTAAAAGTATTTCACAGTGTTCTTTAGATTTTTTTTCCAACGGAAAATATTTTTAAACCTTGTAAGAAGAAAGTAATAGTATGTAAAATAATTGGTTGGTTTTTGTTTTTTCCAAAGCAATCTTCACATAAATCATTTTATTTTATAGAAAACTTGGTCCATGGAGACATTGTGCCAAATAAAAACAGGAATGCTGACCCCTGCACTAAGACTGGCTGCAAATGGCCTAAATATGGAAGCTTTGTCTATATTCCTGTGGCAATCGCTAGCCACTACAGTGAGTAACAGTTTCACCACACAATCATGACGTTTAAATATGGGACAGATGCCTTGAAGCAGGGACATTGGTTGGTGGAGGCCTTGGCCTTGTCAACTCTGTACATCTGCCACGTTTTATCACACTCCTGGGATGTTGCCTTGAAGCAGGGACATTGGTTGGTGAATGCCTTGGCCTTGGACTCCTGGGATGCATTAGTGTTACTTACCTACACTCAGAACCAACTAAGATTGGTTCCAACCGCTCGACCCTAAAAAACGAATACCCTAAAACCCTAATGACTAATACATTACTTATAAATGATTAAGAATAGTAAACAGCTTTGTAAGCTTATAGTCTTGTCCTTTTTTAGGTCACACTCAACGTAATCTTATCATCAGATCCTTGATAACGTTTCACCATCACACATGCATTCGCTTTGTCTGGCGTCGCCGTAATCACCGGGACTTTCTGTACTTCTTCTCTGGATCTGGGTGAGAATCCTTGCAAAACAAAAGGGGATCAACAAATTTATATTTTACTGTTTTCTTGTAGTAACGTAGCAGAGTGTAAACATGTACACCTTCAATTATTTCTATTTATTTTTGGTGTTTGCCAGGTGCTGGTCCTATATTGGCAGACAGGGGGGACAGCAGCCAGTTTCCCTGAGACGTAATGGTTGCTTGTACATATCGACAGCGCAGCATGAAGTCCTGCATGCTATTGGCTTTCACCACGAGCAAAATCGCTCTGACAGGGATCGTTATGTTCATATTCTAATGCAAAATGTTTGGTCAGGCAAGTATTTCACTCAGGTACATTAACAGCTGAACTGTGATAAGAGCATTAAAAGATCATGTCTTCAGTCACCGCTATTACAACCTGCTTGTAAATAGCATTTAAGAATGTTTTATGTTTACACATTTGCAGGGACAAAGGATTTGACCATAAAATTAAATTATTTAATACTAAATTTGTACCTTTGACAGAGGTAGGCATTTGAATATAAATATTTCATATTTTAACTCCATCTGTGCAGGAATGGAGGGAAACTTTGTGAAAGCAAGCACCCTCAACCTTGGAACGCCGTACGACTTTAACTCTATCATGCACTACACCAAGTGAGTGAATAAGGTGGACGTTAGCTGCTGCATCATTAATTAACTTTGTACTTGTATCTGTCAGATATTTATAATGTAGTTCTGCTGTTTTCCTGTTTGAAGATGTTTTTAAAACATTCAACATTAACTGATAAAGTTCACTGTCAATGAGCTCTGATCACTGTGCTCTGCTAAAGGTATGCCTTCTCCAAAAATGGCCAACCAACCATTCTCGCCAAGAGTGATCCCAATTTGGAATTTGGACATGCCACGTACATGAGCAAAAATGACATAGATCGTATCAACCGTTTGTATGAATGCTGTAAGTACATAAAAAATACACTCGGACTTTGAATACCTGGAAAAAAAAAAGTGAACATCCATTACTGTGACTTATTCACAATTGTATAATTATAGTAAATTAATCAGAATGTCAAATGTTTTGCTCTTTTCAGAACTTCATGACAGAGAAAACATGGTTTCTGGTTTGATTTTGGGTGCAAGGTAAAATCACAGTGAATGTAACCATTCTCAGTATATTCTGTGAAAATTGTTTCTTTTTCTCAGTTCAACAGTCAAGTTTAAAAGTTATTCTCATGAGAAAATAAACCAATAATTCAACCCTTACACACCTGTGTGTAGACTGCATGACTGGTCCTGGGTCATGTATTCAGGTTTCCTTCAACTGTGTGAATACCTTTTTAATTGAAGAGTCAAACAAGACACGCCTTTGCCCCCAAGTCAGCTGTAAGGCAGGAAGGCATGATATATCTACCAATTTAGTAAAAGGCTTGGTGATATCTTGTATGTCCACTATCTCTATATTCATCTGCTGAATAAACTTCTGGAAATTCTGACAAAATGCTTTTATGGCTGCAATAGTATTTGAACCACAATGTGGATGCAAATATAATGGGTTGCTGTAATCCAGCGGTTTTTACGCCACGGACCGGTTAAATGTCTGAAATTATTTTCACGGAACGGCCTTTATGGTGTGGTGAATAAATAAAACTAAATAAAATGATACGACCGGCATGAAAACTGGTATTTGCTAAATATAATAATGAAGGTTAAGCCATGAAAAACATAATGAAGGTGTATGCAAATGTTGTAGCAGTGTTCTCGTGACATCATGCTTGTGTTTTGATGCTTTGTCCTTGTGGTCGGGCATTGTTGAAGGCTTCATTGCCTCATTAGAGAGACGTTCGCCGCATATTATGCAGCGCAGGCTCGGTGCATGGGAACAACCTGTCGCAATAAATCCATATTTTCAAGTAGGACTCCTGGAATTGTCTGTTAGATGCAGCTTTCTTTTTTTGAAGACCTAGGTTCTTCTTCTGTCACCTCACAGACTCTTTTACCCTGCTCTAAGAAACTTTCCAATGGCGTTTGTTTTCTGTTCCTTTTTCTAGCTTGGTGGTTTCAGTTTAGCTGTACAGTAATGTATTATGTGTTACCGTCAAGAGCAGACCTTTTAACAAGGTAGTGGATGTATGTAAGACATGAGACTGAGAACCAGAATCAGATAGTAAATAAAACGGAAATAATGTAAGTTATGCATTCTTTCTGTGCGCCGGTACCAAATGACCCAGGGGTTGGGGACCACCCTTGTAATCAAGAGCATTCTATTGTTTCCCTTAAATAAATGTGTCACCTAACTATGTTAGATCAAAACGTTCTTCTTATTACTTTTATTAGAATGATTTTGAGGTAAAAAAAAAATCAGACCACCAGAGTAGATAAAGAGCACAGTGTTTACATATTAATGATATTCTCCACTGCTGTAAAACAAAAGTAAGATCCTTTGGTGATATCACCTTGATCCCAAAGACATTACCTTATTTCTTTCTGTTAATAAAAATAATTTTTAATGAGGGCTTTACAGTACATCAGACTGAAGCATGTGTACGTTGTTGTGGTTTCTACACAAATGATACAGAGTTTTCCTGTACTTGAAGCTTTTAGTGCATTAACTGATTCATTAGCAGTCATTTAGATGCCTCCTGACACCATGTTATAATCATCCTTCGCTGTGATGGTTGGCAGACCATTCTTGGAAAAGGCAGTTCTGCATTAACACAAACAAAGAACAAGTATTATTAACACACCTTTATTAAATGAGATGCTGTCAATCAACACTCACCTGCCGTAATGAAGAATTGTAATCATAGGGAATATTAAAGTTGACTCAGGATTAACTCTTAAAGTTTCCCTTTCATAATGTATTGCAATAATTCACAAAAAAGTATTTCACATCCAGTTGGCTAACAGAACTCTTCAGCCTTGACGTGGATGACTAAGAATCTTCATAGATACGTTTATATTAATTTATGTGAATGTACTATTTGTAACTGAGCCTGATTGAACCACATACATTGACAAATCCAACCATTTCTTCAACTTCTATCTAGAAGCCTAGAACCTGTAACATCTGTTACAGGTCCAAAGTTTAGACTGTCGGTGTCAGTAAAATGCACGTTTGTTTCATCCTACTTTCCATGTTTTATTACTCAAGCAAAACTGCTGTCTTTGTCTTTTTGTTTCAGTAATATATAGAAACATTGTTTTCTGTATTTAGAAATATTGATTTATCTCATTCGATCTATCAGTTTAGCTAATCAGATTTACGGTTGTAATTGATTGACGCAGTGGTACTGTATGTGTTGTTTCTTCAAAACACAAGAGACAGAACAAACAAAATGATGCCTAAACCTGTTGTTCCTGTAATAATCAGTCAAAACATTCCTTTCTGCTATGAAGAGACAAAGCAACTGGAATGTTCAGTTAAAATGAGACACACACACTGATTACATGTAAGTCATTTGCCTAGAGTGTACTACCAAATAGTTTGAAATGTTTAAAACAGTTTAGAAAGTTTAGAAGGATTAAGATGTGGTCCTAGATTTGGTTAGCAAATGATTAATAATTGAACAAAGGTAAACGTCTTGATTATTATGATAATTGTCATAGAACAAAATGTTCAACGTGCAGCCAAATTCTGAAGTTTAAACCAGTTTTCAATTGTCATAGAAGTTACCTGTGCCATAGTAGCATGCACACGATCACTTCTTCACCATCACATCTGCCTTACATGCAGAAGGTCCTGGGTTCCAGCCCCAGAGGAACCACATACATATTGGCACTTCTGGTGGCAGCCTGTGTGGGTTGGAAAGACTCATAATGTGAATTTCCCCCTTGTGGGGTAAATAAGGGACTTAATCTTTTCATATAAATATACATATAAATATATCAGTTTATTTGTGTGTGTTGAATCATAATCGCGCACACACTACTATTTATATTTATTACTATTAAGAATAACATTGTCCTAGGTCTTCAGTAGCTGTAGTGCACTGCCATCATGTGGCTGTTAGGATTATAGCTGGCTCCAAATACAGAACTAATTTACCCGTCCTCAGTGACCATTTCCTGCAATCAAGGCTACATTCAATTAGAGGAGAATAGTACTTATTGTCACTGTAACACGGAGGTACAAAACAATTGAGGAAACAAAAAGACATAAAAAACACAAAAAGGTGCAAAGTACTGTGGAGCTTTATAAAGTGGCAGATGTACAAGCTTGACAAGGCCAAGGCCTCCACCAACCAATGTCCCTGCTTCAAGGCATCTGTCCCATATTTAAACGTCATGATTGTGTGGTGAAACTGTTACTCACTGTAGTGGCTAGCGATTGCCACAGGAATATAGACAAAGCTTCCATATTTAGGCCATTTGCAGCCAGTCTTAGTGCAGGGGTTAGCACTGTTTTTATTTGGCACAATGTCTCCATGCACCAAGTTTTCTATAAAATAAAATGATTTATGTGAAGATTGCTCTAGAAACTTAATTAATGTATTAATTAATGTGATACAGGTGCCCTTTTAGCCTTTGACCTGTTGTCAGATCCAGTATAAGCATCTACTATTGGTGCAGTAGTGTGGCTGCTGCAGAAGGGCTGAGAAGCAGAAATTGACGTACCATATTTTGATCATCGTGATTATGTTTCGTACGTGACTGCATGTGTCCCGTTTTCACTGTCACTGTTTTTTCTTAAAAACTGCTTTGCATTTTCCCACGACGCACACTGACGTGACAAATCACGTCACATCTATTTCTAGTTTGCTCACAAAAAAGGATTTCTTTAAAATTGTTTGTTTATCAGTGGACTAATATTATTATTGTATATTCATACAGCAATAGTTAATATAACAGCCGGAAATGAACAGGATGTACAAGGTAACCAATTGGTATAGTTTTATTTGAAATTTACCTTCACTGTAGCAGAGTATTGTAATACCACTGAGTCAATACAGTGATGATCCAAATAAGACAACAATAATAATAAAGACATTGACAACTGATTTTTCCCCCTGGTTCATTTGAAACAACATTAGACTGAAAGTCTTTGTTTGCAGCTCATTACTGTATGCATAATATATTTTTTAGACCACCACCTCAGTAAAGTGATAGAAAACAGAAAAGGCCCTCCTTCATGAATGATGATGATTTTCCCCTGCTGTAAAGTGAATGCCTCACATTGATGGCGTTGAGAGTTGTCTCAATTCTTTTGGATTCCTATTTATAAAAAAGATTTGTGTTAGAGCTTTACAGTATAATGGAGAGTTTAATGTATTTCTTGGGTCTTAACTGTTTAAGATATATCTGCAAATTTTAACGTTACATGTATTATCGCAGGTTAAGTAGTATTTGTCTCTCCAACACTTACAACATTCATAGAGTGCTTTAACTCGTCTGATGTCATCAGCACTCAGTACGCTGCCTCCTAAGACCCGGTCGTAATCATCGTTGGCAGTGATGGTTGGCTGGCCGTTCTCGGAGAAGGTGGTTCTATCAAATGTGGCTCATTCATTAATGAAACTATTGATGTAGGTCCAAAACATGATAACAAGGCTTATAAACACACTTTCAGACAACACTCACCTGCTGTAATGAAGGATAGAATTGTAGTCATAGGGAATACCCAAGTTCACACTGCTGTAAATCTTAAAGTTTGGTTGTAGTTCTGTGCAGATAGACACATACTCTACTTTCATTTTTAGGTTTTTAAGACGTGATTGAAAATAACGGTGTTAATTTAGTTAAATAAAACGCTTTGTTCTTTGACATTGCTGACCTGATTGGATGTTGTCCCAGTGGATCGTCACATGATCATCTCGGTCAATGCGGTTTTGCTCATGTAGAAAACCAATGACATGGAGGGCCTCATGCTGCACCACATAGCTATCTACACAAGTGACTCCATTGTTTTCGTGTTTTAGAAAGACAACCTGTTTTCCACCCTGTCGACCAACGTAAGATGCACACCTGAAATATATATATATATGTAAATATATAAAGTGATATGTACAGTGATGTACCTTTTTTGTGAATGTAAGTGGACTGATTCTGGCTTCTCTCTTTATTGTTGGTAACTGATTAAAAAATGTAGTGTGCATGTACATGCACGCATGTGTGTGTGTGTGTGTGTGTTTACCCCATTTGATTTGTAAAGGCGATGTAATCTGTTTCATCGGTTCTCGGCACAAATTCAACACAGGTTTGGTCTTTGAAGATGCTCAAGTAGTTTTTGATGAGATTCTTTTGAACATTTTCTGAAAATAAGGTGACAAAATGTATTCAATGTAATGACAAAATGAAATCACTTCCACAACCAATTATGATTCAACATATCCTTTATGTTTGAAGAGATCAACTTAATTTACTATGCAGTATATATTACCTTTTCCTTATATTTCAGTAGATGCAGTAGATCCAAAGACTAGGGTACTTGTTTATTGTGGTATGATATTGAGAAGGAATAACTGGGTAATTTCCAATTTCTTTATTTATTTCAAAGGTTTTGGCCAAAATCTAAACTTTTCTTCTATCTTACAACCAAAAGAGATGCAAATGCTGATTTTAGAGTCTTTGTCATGGCAGTAAGGTGCATGAGTTTTTTCTGTAGTTATAATTTGGTTAATACATGCTCTGTTGGTACAAAAATCTGTATTTTCTTTCTGTTTTGTATGATGTCATCACAGTGTTTTGTGTGGTGACCTATTTACGTGTCAATAGATGGCAATGGTAAAAAATGGTTTATATGAGCTTTTAGATAAAGTTTCTGTGAAATGTATACTCACACCAAATTGTCACACCACTGTACATAAAATGGTTTTGGGGTTAAAGAGATTCATACGTACACCAACTACACCTCTACATTCTTTTCAATATTTAATTTTTTTAAACATTGTTAATCATTCCACAGAGGGTACTCAGAGTTACTTATCAGTATGGTTATTAAAGGTTAAAGTGATACTTACTGTAACCATTTTCAAATACATAGGGCACCTTGACTACTCCATTCACCTTTGGCCACTTGCAGGAATCAGTCACACAGGAGGAAGCAGTCCGTCTTGGATTTCGTAAAATGTCCCCTTCAATTATGTTTCCTGTGAAGTCACATTCCCAGAAATTTGTATAATTTCCAATATTTTCTATTATATTGCGCATAATTAATATTATGACTTTAGCCAATAACATAAATGTGCATAGGTCTTTCAAGAACCAAATATAATAACACATTTCCTAAAGTAAGATTTTTTTGCATACTTAGTCCTTTGTTGGTGTTTATGATATTAGAAAAGCCGTTTCCTGATGGTAAAGAAAAATTAGACAAAAAAAAAAAAAAGAAAAAACAAATGTTAGTACTGTTAAGTTAGTATTTCGATTTTTTACTTTAAAGTCTTAGGAACTCCATATATTTGACTTACCAATACTTCTCCCAGCTGTGCCCTGAAAACGATATAAATGCCATTTTAAGTTGCTTCATATTTTTAATAATTATTATACTTATTTTTTAAAAGTTTTAATATCACACACAAACACAAACTTAGAAAATACATACAAGAGGGATAGTCGTCACAGTGAATAGGAGGCAAAAAAGGAAAACACGAGTCATTATGATCCTCATTGTGTTTACATAAATCTGAAAAGAAAAAAATGTATAAATCATACATTATATATATGCATATATATATATTGAACAGGTATATATATTTAACAGGCATTGTTATATATAGAACAATGCCTGTTAAAATTAATTAAAAAGCAAAGAAAGTGGTGCAGTTTACCAGTTGCATCGAGAGTGAAGTTCAGACCCACAGTAAGACTTATCACCCTCCTTTTATACAGCACAATTACAGGGTGGAGTAAGTGTCAACAAAAGCCCAACCTACTGTTGTTCAGACAGAGCTATATAAATATACATTATATAAATTTAAGTATCTTCTTTTTGTCACGCCAACAACAGATAATCATTCATCTCACACTATGTTACTTTATGTGATACAAACTCTAAACAGTCCCAGGTATACTGATAACACTATGACACTATAAACAGTCCCAGGTATACTGATAACACCTTCTTTGTTTCCTGTGTCTATGATAGAATAGATTTACAGGAACTGAAGAAAAACCTACAGTGCATTTTGCACCATGTTGCTCGATAGCATTTATTCCTTAAATGGAATGATAACCGATTAGTCTTTCGCCCCTATACCCAGGTCGGACGACCGATTTGCACGTCAGGACCGCTGCGGGCCTCCACCAGAGTTTCCCCTGGCTTCGCCCTGCCCAGGGATAGTTCACCATCTTTCGGACACCAACGTGCAGGTTTACAGAACGTATTAGATTATATTTATGTATTATAATATATTATATTATATGGCCATTATATTATATTGTATTAGATTAATTCTTAAACGATCTGCTGGTTAAATATCAGCTAAAAAAACAAATCCAACTCAAATGTGATCAGGTTTATTTCTTTTCCCCCTTCCTATAAGTTTTTTTTTTTTTTAAGGATGACAATAAATGTACTTAAACCAAAGGTAAGATTCTTTTTATATAGAAGTGTTAGGATGCCATTTGATAGGTAGAGAGAGGGAATGAGTTGTAATTAATTTTATTTGACAACATATTTTAAAACATTTCATTTGAGAACAGCAGAGGTTTATTTAACAGTTACTCTCCTGCACTGCCTTGGATTTGCAAATTCAGATTGAAATTTGTTACCTTTTTGTGGGGTGGACATGAAAACCTTTTGATCTTCATTTTAGTCATGTTACAGAATGAGCAGTGGTGAAGAAGACAATGCCTATAAGGTTTAGATGATTGATAATTAACTCAATTTTTTTATGAGTCCAAAAATGCATGTTTATTCTGAATATGCTAATGCATTTTGATTTTAATTATAGTACCGATAGTCTTCCATACAATTGGTAACACAAGTGTGCTGTGGCAACAAAAAACACACAGTAAAGTTTAAAGTTAAACGTGTTTAAGATTGAAGACCCATTCTTGATTGTGTTAAGAGAAAGTTTTAGTCTGGGCTTACTTTCAATTAAACTTCACATCTTGTGTCTGTGTTTTTGTCTAAATCCTCTACTTCCATATTATTGTATAAAACCTGCCACAATATGTGTTACAGTTATGTTAAATAGACATGCTGTAAATTTTTATTTTGACACAGCAACGTAGCTGCTAAACGTGAGTTCGATGCAGAAATGTTGTTGTTTGTGTTGCAATCAGGAGCAAATTAAAACATAACCTGCTCCACACCCTAGAGCTTAGGTCACACAGGACAAAGAGACACTGGCACTAGGACCCAATAACATCCCCACAGCAGATCTTTGTTAAAACATGTGGCCTTTAGGAACAATACACAACATCCTAAACATAATACAACACAATAATGAGTAAAATAAAAGTTGAAATTTCTATTAAGCTTGACATATTTTTCCCTCTTTTTCTAGGCTACACAAATAAAATGCTGAATAATCAGTGAAATGTTAATAAATATTTTTTCTCAATAAATTTTTCTAATGAAGTAAAAAAAAGAAGGTTCCAATAACAACAGTTTGATTGTGTTCTGCTCTCCCCTATAACTATCTTAATGTAATTTAGGTTAAAGAGGTGATTGGTTGGTAGGTATTTAAACCAACATATGACACAGAAAGAATGTGTTTCTGCAGTAAACTCTCAGCTAGTAACTGTCTTTTAATAGAAAATAAAGGTAGTTGAGAAATGACAACAACAATGTTAATATGCAAATGAGGACTCACTGACTCACCTGGTTCCAATTATCATCAAACACAAACTTATTGCACTTATCGTAATTATATGAACTTGAATATCAAGTGTTTCTGCCAGATTGATGTTCACTTAAAATAATTTTAAAGGGCGTTATCTTACTGCTAACCACTATAATCAAAATGGTTCACGCAGACATTATTTAAAAACAACCTCTTCATGTTCACTTCATGATTTTCATAACAGAAGATTTTGTCATGTACTGTAAATGTAATTAAATCAAAAGAGAAAGTTCTGACCAAAAAGTGAAAGGTCTTTAAAATAAAAACAGCCACATCAAACACCATTTTGGACACATTTTCTCATCTGAACAAGGCTTTAAACAGTGGTCAAGCGTATTCTAGAAAAACTCTTCATTAATCATTCCTTTTGAAGTGATGCAGAAAACATCTGTCCAGAGAATAGTGCGGTACTGAATCAATACATTTAGGGCTCCACTGTTTAAGATTTAGGTCAGACTTATGCATTGTGTTTCTCTTGTTACGACAGAAGAAGAAGACAGTAGAAAGCAAATATTATACTGATACATGCCAGATTGTACACTCACTCAGTTATACTGTAGGGTATTTTATTATCATTCAATCATACACAAAAATGTTATACAACAATATATTTTATTTTACATTTCCTAAAAATGAACAAAATTTTTCCATCCTTAATCGAGTTGAACGAAACATACGGCAAAGATGCCCCGATGAAAGAGTGCCTTTAAATGTATTTGAAAGCCCTTTCTATACTATGTTATATACCTGTCCATGATTAAACAACAACTCACCTGCAAAGCATGTAGTTCCAAACCTGTATATCAAGTTCATTCACACGCAAAAGAACAGCATGTTTTAGTGACCCTTTTTTAACAAACAACAAAATGAACACACTTCTTGGCCAAATATTCGATATTCGTCACATTTATTTGTTTTAACCATTATGTTTTGGGTCGTGTGGCCTCATGTTACTGTGGTGGATTAAGGTTGTTATTTTTCTTTAAAAAAATCTAAAAATATGGGGTCAGGGTTAGTAACTGTGAATATCATTGAAGGTCGCTAACTACAGGAAAAGGATGTAATTTATTTTAGTCCAGTCTCTTAAATCTGTTTTAAATCCTTACATTTTAGCAGGACAAACTGATTTGATTACGATTATTTGTGCTATTGTTGACAATGTTAGTAATGGAAACCTTAGAAAATTATATTTCTTATATTATTAATTATATTATCTCATTCTTCTTCTTATTATTATTATTATTACAACTACTTAAATAAGTTCACTAGCAGATACTGAATTTTGCTACTTTAAAGTAAACAACAAAAAAGGTTGGCAAATATAAACACGTATGTCGTTTTGTACACAGTAGAGGAAATTACTCTGAAGCAGTTTAGACAAAATGGACGCAACGTGTTAAACGCTTTCACATCCACATTTAAGGAACTGTGTCGTGTGTGTTGAAAGCATGTGACTGATCAAGTGACAGCCTGGTCACATGATTCAGTCAGCTGACGTCACGAGTGCAGCCGAACCGTTCTACCGTAGAGACTCAACTGACTGTCAGGATGCCGTTTTCCGAGCTGTATTTTAACGTCGATAACGGTTATTTGGAAGGGCTGGTTAGGGGATTTAAAGCCGGGATACTTTCCCAATCGGATTATACAAACCTGGTTCAGTGTGAGACCCTGGAAGGTAAGAAAACATGCACAGCTAGCGGCTATCACATTAGCAGTGCACCGGCTAGTTAATCGCTTGAAACACTCGTCGTCAGTTTAGTGTTTTGGGGGTCATTTAATCCATCGTTGTGTTATTCACTTGATATCATAAATATAATTAGATTTTGGTGTTTCGTCAAAGCTATGCTTAATTATCTGTAATTTTAAAAACATGTATACTCCGTTTATCGCAACCTTGTAGCACACTTGCTAACTCGAGCTCGGGATTTGAGCTCTGCGGATCACCCTTTCCTTAGCTTCCCCTTAAAGGAAATGAATGTTCGTCAGAAAGAAATAATAACCCTACTTTGTGTCTACGGCTGTTATACTGTAGGCACAAAGTTAAGTCACAAATCTTTCCCTTCGTCGATTAGATTAAGGTGGGTGGCACTTAAATTTGGTAACTACTGTGCTTACTTACTTTTGTTGATATCTGTAAGAAAAAGGTCCAAGAAGCCAGGACACGCATGTTTGTGTCTCTCTGTGTGTGTAACTGAGAAATCACAAATTCAACAGTTTCTTTCTGCAATCAAAAAAGTATTTCTCGTTCTGATAACACATCATCTAGCATGCAGTACATTAATGTTATTTATTTCCCCTGTAGATCTGAAGCTTCATCTGCAGAGCACAGACTATGGCAGCTTCCTGGCCAACGAGGCCTCTCCTCTCACAGTGTCTGTTATTGATGACAAGCTGAAGGAGAAAATGGTGGTGGAGTTTCGCCACATGAGGAACCAGTCGTATGAACCACTGGCCAGTTTCATGGACTTCATCACGTAAGCTCTTTACAATTATTTTATGATAACTCATAAGTTTCACTGTTTATATGTTATCACTATAGAAGCACTATGTATTTCAATGTAAACAGAACTAATAAATAAAATGTGCGATTTAACTCTGTTTTAGATAAAGAGAACATTCTTCTCTTTGATTGATCTACGTTCACACATATACGTTTTCTTATGGTTTGTTTTCCTCCACTTGACTTCAGGTACAGCTATATGATTGATAACGTCATCCTGCTCATTACGGGCACTCTGCACCAGAGGGCAATCTCTGAGCTGGTGCCCAAGTGTCACCCACTGGGCAGCTTTGAAC